GAGAAGGAGGTTGAGAAGGAGGTTGAGAAGGAGGTTGAGAAGGAGGTTGAGAAGGAGGTTGAGAAGGAGGTTGAGAAGGAGGTTGAGAAGGAGGTTGAGAAGGAGGTTAGAAGGAGGTTGAGAAGGAGGATGAGTATGAGTGGGAGAGTATAAGGGAATAAATTGGTTAGTTGGTTATTATTACTGTAAATAGGGGATATTGATGGAGTTTGCTGTTGTTGTTGGGATATTGGGGAACCAAGACACCCATTTTCTTTCTTCTTTCCTTTCCATTTGGAGATAATATACTAGGATTATATGATGTGATATGTGGGAAAGGACTTTTGGTACCGAAATATGTTAGGGGAATAAAGTATATTCGTTGGTGTATAAAAAAATAAATTCTTTTCTTGAGACACGGAAAGGGCGAGGGTTGGTTCTGACTTGGTCATGAAAGAAAGTGTATTTGTTCTGCCTGGGATGTTTTATTGATGAGAAATATTATGGTACGATGAGGATTTTTGAGGAGTTAATTCTCTAAATGACAAGCAGAAACTTTGCCAGCCTTTTTTTCCCTACTTGTTTTCTTTCTATGTCGGAGATATGAGTGGAATTGACTAGGATATGGAGAGAGGGAGAAGGGTTGATTGGAAATGGTCAAGCGGGAAAATTTTCCCCCTTCAGAAGCAGATCTGTTATGGAATGAATAAAATACGGAGAGATTGGAGAACAAACCCGGTGTGTAACCGGCAGAAAGTAATGGGCTGATACCAACGTGGTCGGCCTTGCCGTCCTTGGGTACTGTAGTACAGCAGGAGCTCGTATGTAGTGTGACGGCAAAACGGAACGGCAATCTTTTCTTCTTGTCGGGTCCTCGTGGCTTGGTTGGATGAGGGTTTTTCAAGCAGGAGGGGCAATTTTTGTCATGAAGGAGGTTCGTCGGCGGTATTCCGGGGTTTGAGGATGATTAGTGATGGCGGTGGCCAGATACCTACAGTGTAAAGCTCTCCTCTTTGCTATCACGAGTTCAATGCCTGAATTGTTGCCACCGAGGAGAAATCATTTTGAGGCAAGACACGACAGGAGATTTTTGGGTGTACAGAAAAGGGTCTCCTGACAGGCCGCTAGGGGAATTATCATGAGACAAGCGACTCGAGGCAAATTCTGTGCATATATGTACATGTATCATGGTGATAAGCCGAGAACAACCGTTCTTTTCCAATGAGATAAGGGTCTCGGCCTCTTGTGATAGGCAGTACGGATACGAATCACGAGAGGAACGATTTCTAGTGCGACAGTGAAAACTGGAAACTTCCTTTACAATGAAAGTAGTAATATTGATAGTCCCTGCCAGTATGAGCAATACAAAGGGTCTCTTGTTTGAGACAATCTGTAAAAATCACGACCCTTGGGACAACTCCAAGACCCTGCATAAGGCCGTTTAAGCATGGCAAAGATGAGATTTAATATGGGAAAGTAAATTGACGGTTTCTCCACGTTGGCATGGCCGTATACACCGACCCGAGACAGTTCCGTAGATGTTTCCCCGAAGGAGATGAGACGAGACGAGGGCTGAAAAATCTGGGAGAGAGCCTGTTGTTGATAGTACTTCGGTTCATTCGGCAGAGAGGTTTCAACAAGATGAAAAGCCCCTTGTAGCACGGTGAACAGCTGTCAGTTTGTGCCACAGGGTTCAAATGGATTTCTATAACCTGTGGCAAGGTCATCCCATTCTCTTTACATGCCACCAGGTGACACAGATATTCTGCCCAGAGTCTAGACTGTAGTTACCGGTTGAGGAGTTTTGTGTGACGACGTCGGGGTGAAAGAACTGAGGGTCGAAAACGTTGGTCAAAATCACGCCATGTTGGCTTTCAGGGAATAGAGCAGGAACAAAGAAAACTGGAATTATGTAATGAAATTCCACGTTGTGCGGCAGAGAAGGCAACGGGAAGCGAATAAAAGCAAGAGCACCCGGGACTGAGGTTTCGGGTTAAACGGGCAGTATCTTGAACATTGTCGGCCACGAAAATAGAAAGAGATGAATACGCTCCTCTGCATGTAGGCAACCAACCCCCTCCGCTGCCTGATTGCCACATGCCAACTGGAGCACTCCGGAGTGGATGTGCCCTGTCCTCAGTCAGGAAAGAAGGAAGACGCCACTACTCCCAAGCTCACCCAATCAATGCCATCACAGAGTGAAACCTTAAAACTGCAAGATGCCGCTTATCTAGTTGCACGGCATGTGTCTGTGTCCGTGTACCGGGAAATTTCGAGTCTTTACTCTTTGGGAACCTGGAAAGTACGCACGTTATTGCCCTTTGAGGCGACAAGCTTCGAATCAATTGCAATTGAAAGGTCCGAAGTTCTCCAATTCCTCACCCCGCATAAACAAACACAAAGACAAACATCCTCTCCCCTGTCCATCATCTGTAAACAACCGGATGAAATTCCAGTTTGGGATTTCATTGTTTGTCGAATCCTTCGAATTATGGGTCACAAAGTATGTGTTGGCATCCCTGGATATATTACATGCATCATCTCACCTGCATTTGTTTTCCAAAGGATTTCAAGATTTTCCTTGGGACGAAAAAAAAACCGTTGAATGTAGAAATAACTTTTCCACCATCACCCCAAATGCACTCCTCCGTCATTACTCCCGATGGTCTTGCCGAATCGGAGCATGTCTATCATTTTTTACAAGAACTCTGTTGTGAGTACTTTTTTATGGTTCCGCAATCTTCAACGAACACATAATAAACCTGGAAGACCCTGCATATGCTGTCAAAAAAATCGCGAGACGGCATGTTGATTGAAACTTGTCTTGCATCACCTACCCACCCCCCTTATTCTCCAGGTTACAGTTACGCCGACAACTTAACAGGCAAATCCAATCTGTCATACACTTCTTTGGACTGATACCTTTTTTTCCTCTTTTTCTTTTTCTTTTTCTAATTTTAATATTCTCCTACAAATTGTCTCTCATCTCAATATAACCTCATAAACCTTACAGTGTGACTTACACACTTATACTTCTCAGACACATACACAAAAATCCTTACAGGGAGAGGACAATGTTCACAATCCTCTCTATAACGTGAACGAAGGACTTTACGGGGAGCTTCGGTGAAGCATTTTTGCTGTTATTAGACAGCCTTGTTTTCCCCCTCTTCGTCTTTTCTTCCCCCTTATCAACAATTACTTTACCTATTAAGCATTATTCAACCCTCTCAAACGGAGAATCAGTCTTGAAGATCATCTCCATCCCTTGATCTTTCTGTTACTCGGCCGAGTCACGACTCTTTTACTTCTGAAACAGGAGCCAAAAAAGTCTTCAACCGCCACTTCACAGTCCTGCTCAACCTCTCCCGCAGACAACGGGGGCTTCCAATTCGATCCGAACCCAACCGTAGCTCTCAAGACGAGTAAAAAGACACTATTCAAGTCTCGGGCCTACCTCTCCACGCGGAAATCACAACTTCAAATCCCTCTTGGGGCCACATCGTCCGTTGTTTCGCAACCGCCGGTCTGTAACAATGTGCCTCCAGCACGACTACGTCTTCCAATGCAACCATCGAGCCTTTGCACGCTTCGACAATTGTCCAAACTTTGGTCGAACATGCTACGGTGCAGGGGGGACGCACAATGAGTTGCTCG